TGCTGATGACGAAATCTTCCTCCTTGGAGAGGATAATTTTATGAATGTAGCCTATGATGATTGTGCCTAGATTGTTGATTCAGTTGCCTCTTTCCACATCACCTCACACAAGAGCTTCTTTTCTTCCTATAGAAGCGGTGATTTTAGAGTTGTGAAGATGGAAAACCAAGTCACCAGCAAGATTAGTGAACTACTTTGGTGGTGGAAGATGGAAACTAGGCAAAGGTAACTTGGTGGTTGCCCTAGGAAAGAAAGAGGGCTCCCTGTATGTTATACAAAAGAAGATAAATGATAGAGAAGCCAATGCACTATGGACGGGTGAAGCTAGTGTGGAACTGTGGCATAAAAGACTTGGCCTCATGAGTGAAAAAGGTCTTCAAATCTAGAACAATAAAGGCTTGTCGCCCGGGAGGCAAGAACTGATGACCATGCGGAATTGGCAAATGCTAGAAAGCGGTTCACATTGCTATGCTGGAAAGCAGCACAGAGTATCATTTTCCCGATCGGATCAACCTAGACGACACATGTATATTCTAGACCTCGTCTACACCGACATCGCTCCATGGGGCTCAATATTTTATTTTATTTATTGATGACCATTCTCGCAAAGAGTGGGTATATTTGTCAAAATCTAAAAACTAGGTTTTCTAAGCCTTTAAGGAATTTCATGTCATGGTAGAAAGGGAGACCAGGCGGAAGCTGAAAGTAGTCCGACCGGATAACGGGGGGAAATACTGCGGCCCGTTTGATACCTACTGTCGAGCAACCATTATAAGACTTAAGGAGAAGCCCCCCAAGACTCCTCAGCTAAACGGAGTTGTTGAGCGGATGAATAGAGCAATTGAAGAAAAAGGTTTGATGCTTGTTATCACATGCCAAGCTGCCTAAGTCATTCTGGGGTGAAGTTGTCTGAACGGCTGCTGATTTTATCAACTTATCACCATCCAGACCACTTGAAGGAAAAATTCCAGTAGAAATATAAATCGGTCGGAAAGCAACATATGATCATTTGAAAATGTTTGGTTGCCAGGCGTTTGTTCATATCCCCCAAGATGAAAATGCGAAGCTTGACGCCAAAACAAAAGAATTTATTTACCTCGATTCACTAAGATGTTAGTTTGGATATAGACTTTGAGATCTGTAAAGAACCAATTCAACCCAAAAGCTTAAGCTGTTGGGTGAGGCTACATTAATGGTTTTATATATCTCAACACACCCCCTCACACGAGAGCCTACTGGGCTTGAAGGGTGGACAATGCACAAGCCCACCTACCTGTGCGAACAAAGAAATTCCACTTGAAAGAAAGTGGGTGGCGGCGAGGATTGAACCCGGGACACGAGGCTCTGATACCATGTAAAGAACCAATTCAACCCAAAAGCTTAAGCTGTTGGGTGAGGCTACATCAATGGTTTTATATATCTCAACCGGATCCAATCAACCGGAAGATTGTTAGAAGCAGAGATATGATCTTTCATAAAGATGAAACATCAAAGACATCTCAAAGCCCAAAATGATCTTGCATGAAGACTCCATTCCCCCTGTCCGGGCAGAAACTGGGGAAGAAAATGTTGAAGAAAATGAACAAGAAGTGTCGACCGGGAACGATGGAAATGAAGAAAATGACATACATAGCGATCACCCAGAAAAAAACAATGTGCAGGACACTCAACTTGACCGACCGAAAACAAACACTCGACTAGAGTGAGACGACTATCCACCAAGTATCCACCTGATGAGTATACTATGGTTGCTGAAGAAAGAGAACCACAAAGCTATGAAGAGGCCATGTCAAGTCCCGATCCGAATGAATGGGAAAAAACAATGAAAGAAGAGATGAAGTCTCTACAAGAGAACCAAACTTATGAGTAGACCAATTGCCTAAAGGAAGACAAGTTCTGAAGAATAAATGGATATTCAAAATCAAGTATAAGGCGACCAGCCAAAGGCCGAGACACAAAGTCAGGATTATAGTGAAAGGTTGCAATCAGAATAAAGGAGTTGATTTTGACAAAATATTTTCTCCTGTCGTGAAGATGACTTCAAGACGATCGATATTAGCTATGACAGTCTCAATGGACTAAGAAGTTGAGTAGATGGACGTGAAGAATGCATTCCTTCACGGTGACCTGGAAGAGGAGATCTATATGAAACAACCTGAAGGGTTTCGAGCAATAGGTCCAAAAGATCAAGTTTGTCGATTGAAGAAGAGTCTATACGGCATGAAGCAAGTCCCTCGGCAATGGTACAAGAAGTTTGAATCTTTCATAACCGAGCATAAGATCATGAAGACGAAGGTCGACCACTACTAATTAAGAGGTATAAGGTCGGAGATTTCCTAATTTTACTTTTATATGTTGATTATATGCTGATTGTAAGGCAAGACAAGTCAAAGATTGCTGCCCTGAAGAAGGCTTTGAGCTCGTCCTTCTCAATAAAGGTCCTTGGCCTTGCAAAGCAAATCCTTGAAGAAGATTCAGCATGGACAAGGCCAAAATTGTGAGCACCCCCAGGCCGGACACATAAAGCTAAGTCAGAAGCAATGCTCAAAGACTGATGAAGAGAAAGACGAGATGATGAAGATCTCATACCAGCCCACGGTCAGAAGTTTGATGTATGCAATGGTTTGCACAAGACCCGACCTATCATATGTTGTTAGAATAGTCATCTGATATTGATCTAATCCCAGCCAGAAACACTAGGAAGCTGTTAAATGGATTTCCAAATATCTTAAAGGAACGACCAACTAATGCCTCTGTTTTGGAGAAGGTAAGGCCGAACTTGAAGGCTTTATGGATGCTGATTTAGGGGCAGATTTCGACTCAAGGAAGTTGACGACTAGATATCTGATGACTTTTGGAGGAGATGTTGTCTCCTAGTAATCAAAGCTGCATAAATGTGTTACACTTTCTACAATGGAGGCTGAGTACATAGTGGCGACTGAAACTTGCAAGGAGAAGATATAGATGAAGAAGTTCCTCCTTGAACTCGGCCATGAACAAGACAAATATAAACTGAAGTGTGATAATCAAAGTGCAATCCACTTAGCAAAGAATTTTGTTTTATCACTCCCGTACGAAACATATTGATGTGAGGTATCACTGATCGGGTGGTGATAGAAGAAAAACAACTTGAACTAGCCAAGGTGTATATTGACCAGAACTGGGCAGTCATGATGACAAAGCCGGTTGGTACAAGGAAATTTGAAAACTGTTGTCAAGGTGCCGGGCTGCTAAGTCCCAACCGGTGAACTGCTAATCTTGACGCATTAAAGTCGGAAGGGAGAGATTTGTTTGGGTGTGTTCCTTCCTTTAATGCTTGGTGGCTAAGCATACACTTCATTTATGGGTGCATGGCTCAATGTCTAAACGCAACCACCTCAATAAATACTACCCACCTCATCATTGCTAAAGACTTTGGAAGAAGATGTAGAATTTCTTCTCACCTATATAAGCAGATGAAACCATTTGTGTAAGAAGTTTTTAGATACTGTGAGTGTGTGTATCCTCCAAAGAGAAATTTAAGTGAAAGATCTCTTTAGAGAAGAAACTTGTAACCACCATTGTTAGTAAAGCTTGAGTGTACCACCATTGTTGGTAAGGTTTGAGTGTACCTCTAGTGTTACTAGGGAAATTTGAATCTCTTTGTAATCCAACTATTTCATAGTGGAAGTTTTTTTGGACTTTTGTCCCGTGGTTTTTACTCCTCTTTCTTATGGGAGGTTTTCTACATTAAAATTTGCTATATCTTTCTCTTTATCTCTAATCTATTACATATGTGATGGCTGACCGGTAATACTAAATTGCCGACCGGTAAGACTAAATTGTTGAGCATAAAGCTTGAAGACATTAGCCCGTCTGATTATGTGTATACTGGGCGGTAAAGCCTGTAGTCCAAACCGAGTAATTGTACTGGGCGGTAATACTGAATTGCCATGCTAGTTGTACTGGGCGTTAATATTGAAATGCCCTGCTAGTTGTACCAGGCAGTAAACACTTTAGCGCAAATCATTTGAGGGACCCCGTCCCAACAAAAAATGCTGAATCTTGGGTGACAGAACTTCAACCATCTTATCTTTCTTAAAGTATTGTATATTTTTATCCATCCTCATCATTTTCATGCTTTGTGCAGATAGGTTCTTGTTCCCTCGTTTTGTTAATTTTAGAATTAAGAAAACATATATGTATTAAACAAACAAAAACCATAAAGAAAAGAACCTTGTATAATCTGTTATCCTAAAACCACACTTTTGGACCTCTAAATCAATGGAGAACTCATGACAGACAGATACTAGAAACTTGTCCTATATCCCCCATTGCAGAAAGAATATTAGGTACCAAAAAATGAAATAGATAGCTGCATGAATGCTAACAGCTTGTATTAACAGGGAAGAAAGTTCCACTTCTTCCGCATAGACCTTTAAATGAAATAAAATTCAAATTTACATTGCTATTACCAATCAGTACTTTGTGATTGTGTATCTTTTTAGCCATTTGAGCAGGTCCTGCTTATCTTTTTAAACGTGATTCCATGAAAGCATAAATTCTATTCAATATTTCCCCAATCCCTACCCACTCGCCTCTTTTGTTCTTTTGGGAATAGATCTCTCATGTGAATTATTAACATGAAGAAAAACGTAGGCACCAAAAACTCCAAAACAGAACCGTACAAATATTGACAAGATCCCATCAGTGGAGCTCTGTTTAGATTATTTTTGTTAATGTCTCCCTTCATATGACCTTGACAAGTGAAAAACTCACTTGAGAGAATCCATTCCCCCTTCTTTTGCCCTCAATTTGGTTCCAAAACCATTAAAATGATAGAAAGCAGTGCTCTATGAATGGTAAAATTAACAACATGTCCACATATTGGGTACAAATTGTAAAACAGAGAAAATAAAAATATCAATCATATTATTATTTAAAAAAAAAAAGAACATGACAATAATAGCAATAACAAGAGAGTGAGTGAGTTATAGAACTCAGAAGAATTTGACACATACCCTCCAACGCTTGAGGCGTTGAATCGGAGCATTCTTTGTGCTGGTAATATCAAATGGATCAGAAGAGTAGTCTCGGTCATCAAAATCAGTGGGAGACCCAGCCTCTATATCAAGCTGCTGCATCTGGTCGCAAGGAGAAGAACCCTTGGAGAAACTCATAGTTCCTGAAACTGTCGCAGGAAAGATGGCACCGTCACTAACTCTATATATCCCTCACTACCACTTCATAGTAAATCATGATAACCGTTTTCGTTATTAATGGCTCCACTTCCACTCTAAGAACAAACCTCACTGGATCAACTATTTCTTCACAAGAAAAACTCCAAACCATTTTCAAGAAAAAATTTCACTAATCCTTGTCTTTATCGTTCAAAGTCGTACTTCACTGGTCTCTAATTTCAACTCAATTATTTCAATTGCACAGTACAATACGTCTCTCTCTCTCTCTCTCTAGAAAATACCAGCTTCTAAAATTTCTCTATCAATGCAGTATACATTATGCTTATATATGCGTATAAGCACAGTTGTGAGTGACTTACCGGGAAAATAAGAGACTATTTATTTTTTACTGTGATAGTGATAGTGATAGTGATAGTCTTCCTCTAGTCTTCGTCTTCGCCTCGGTCTTCTTGTTTCTCTGAACCTTATTGTGAAGCCTGAAACCCTTCAGTGAAGGAAACAAGTACTAATAATTAATAAATAAACAACGCAACCCCGCACCTGAGAATACAAATCATTAATTTCCGTTCATGACATTCTCGCCTTATGCAAGAATATATCCAAAAACAGAATAATATATTTTCTAATTTTTTAATAAAGTTCCCTCTTTCGACGAAACTTCGCATAATAAATTAATAATTCAATATTCAATTTATGTGCCTAAGAATATATTCGCTTTACTTCTTTTTTTATTATTATTATTTATAACATTGTTGAAACAACATGCAGTCTTTATCAGTACATGCCTTGGCATTTTATTCATGATATTGGTTTTGTTATATTGTCAAATTAAGTTTTGACACATGAAGGAGACATAATGATGGGTGATAATGCGGTAAGCATAAAGCATGGCAAGTGTGGTTGGAGAATAACCGACGTGTGGCACATGTGCCAAGAGGCACATTCACTAATGCTTAGCATAATTGACTAAGGAATTTGAATATTATGAGCAATAACACGAAAACCATTCCTAACTATGACGCACGAGTACGACACCAGATATTCAGTTGTTGGTGGAGAAAAACGGGTCAAGGTTGGTTTATCTCTTTCTGGTATGTTGTTTGGAACACCAACTGCATTTGTTTGGTATGTGTCACGGATTATAGGTGCTACCCATCACCTACTCATAGCTATGACTATGGCAGAATGCATGCCATTACGGTGACTGGTGATAAATTCAAATGCATACGCGGGAGTTATTAATATCTGTTTCCATGTCCATTTTACAAATAGCTGTTTATCTTTATGACTATTGAAAAAGACTTGGTAATAAAGAATTCATTGGTCTGTCAACATTTTTACTAATTTGTTTTATATTTATCCAAATGGGGTCCATTCCTTTGCTCATTAGAATGGTTCTGAAAAATGGTCCGGCCCGTTGAAATGGGAACCTATCCATAGTTAGATCTACTCTAGGAGGCTCTATTTGATTGTGTTTTAGTTTTTTTTTCTTAAAATAATTTTGTAGAATTGTTTATAAGAATTGTTTTTCAGAACAAAAGAAGAAAAAAATCCACTTGATAAAATTGTTTTTAAAAGAGTTTTAAAATTTAAAAAACAAAAAAAATTGCTTGATAATTTTGTTTTGAAAACATATTTTCAAAGTTAGAAAACAGAAAACTCGTTTGATTATTTTCTTCATTTTGTAATTTTGCCCACTTAAAATACCCAAAAGTTGGGATCCAATCATTGGTGAATCTCTTCGGAATCTGCTCAACAAAAATTTTTGATCCCTGAAAACCATGTCCGTCAAGTGTTTAAGCAACTTTCTTCAGAAAAGAATGTTCCTTTAACAGTGCTGATTGTTTAGATATAACTGAAAACTTAGATATATTGCAAAAACTAGTTTCAAACGAATAAGGAATTATTTTCCCTATTTCTTCGTGAATATTGATTGAAGAGGATAATGATAACGGGAGAGAGACGGAGGGATTGAGAGGAAAGTTAGAGTTGCAACGAAGAAGAAGGGGAAAAACTTGAAATCTTAAATGATTTATAATAATATGTTGGTATTTACACTATTTCCATTAATGAAAACAGAGTGTTCTCCGTGTTTTTGTAATTCTCAAAACAAAAACAAGTCAAAGGTGTACTGAGATTTTTGTTCTAAAAACTAAAAACTAGTGATTGTTTTTAAAACTATTTTTAGGAAACACTCTTATCAAACAAAATTTTTTGTTTTTTGATTTTCAAAACAAAAAAACTGTTTTCTTAAACACTAATCAAACATACCCTTAGACTCTGTTTGAATACTGTTTTCAAAAACAGTTTTTTAGTTTTTAGAACAAAAAAACTCGTTTGGTAAGGTCTGTTTTGTAAAAAAAGTTTTAAAAACTGTAACTATTTTTTTGTTTTTAGAATCAAATTTAGAAAACATGCTTGAGTTGTTTTTGTTTTCTTTTTTGGTTTTTAACTTTCAAAATAAAAAAAACATAGAAAACAACTGTTTTCATAATTATTCTACAAAATAGTTTTAAGAACAAAAAAAACCAAAACACAATCAAACAGACCCTTTAACGCTCCAGCCCCATAAAATATTAGGTGGGGCTGAAGAGAGAGAGTGAAGAGAAATTGAGGGGAGAGGAAGGAAATAAATAAATAAATTACATGCGTCATTCCTTCAATGAGAGGACCACCATAGCCCTGGAACATGATAAAAATTTCCCTAGTTTAGGAATATATCTTTAATGATATAGGAGTAGTTACTTTTTTATTAAAAAATATATATATATATAATAAGATTTAGGTGTTTATAGTTATAAATGAATGGGAGAAAAAAAAGTAAAATTAAATATTTTATTTTTTTTCTAATTTTAATAAGGATGTATTGAGTCTTCCATGTCTCCGTTATATGGAAGATATTTTTCTGGGGTTTAGTTTCAAAATTTTAAAAGTCAGTTTGGGAATAGATAAATAAACAAGAAAATAAAACCATGTAGATAGACCTATTCGACCAACCCTATGTATGCTCAGTAGATCCATCATGTGTTGTACAAGACTTCCTTGGACACATGTTTCCTCATATTTCTCACGCACGTATAACTTTTTACACGTCATAGGTCATGTAGTCTCACACCTATGAGGCCCATAGAGCTGCAAACGGTTATGGCATCACGCTTTGTGCACTCGGAGAAAATCTTTAACCTCCTATATAAGGGGGCCTCAGCTCCTTTTTACTGTTCATCTTCTTCATTCGCTTTTTTTAGCTATTACTCTGCTGGACTCTCGTCATGGCAATAATCGTAGCCCTTATACACCTTCCCCATTTCAACACATTCAGCTTTCTTGAGGCTAATCGAAAATACCTACGAGCTCTAGTCTATATCACTGCCTCTTTCATCTCCTTCAAATCAACATTCTTTGCCCATTTGAAAAATAGATCCGTATTTCGTACTCTAATTCAGATTAAGGCTTTTATTTCTCTCTTATCACATCAAATTCGTATCTACCTATATAAATTTATGACAGTTAATGTAGTACTTATGTTTTGACCTTAGTGACATGTTTAAAAATAAAAAATAAAAATAAAAACGAACAAGCATTTAAAATATTACTTCCAAAGATTTGGCTACTAGTTGAGAGAAATTCAAAATTCAACACATGAAAAAATAGAGAGTCTAATGAAATAAAAAGGAGAGCTAAAACCAACTACATAATTTCTTTTAGGAAAAAAATATATGTCATTTTAAAAGATGTAAAAATATGTCATTTTAAGTGAGAAAAAAAGATATATAATGAGAAAAAAATAAAAATGTAGATTCTACCTCTTTGTGAGAGTGAAATGACACAAATTGTGTCATTTAAAAGGACAAATATTTTTTCTTTTCTTTTAAAAGTTTGAGTTAGAAACTAGTTTTGAGTGTTAGGTAAATTAAGTGATCTACATTTATTATATATTTTCTAACAGAATGCAAACACCCCACTTAATTTATATAATGGGATCCACATAATTATAAAATAAAAAAATACAAATAAAAAATTTAAAAGGTCAATGTATCTGTAGGAAAATCAACTACTTCCCAGCGGATGGAGAGTAGTTTTTCCCTTTATATAATGGAATGAAATCTCTTTCAAAGAATGTGTTTTGGTTTATTTAAGTCCAACAGGTCAAGCCTAATGATATAGCACACTTCTAGAATCTTCTGGAAGGGCACACCATACCCTTACACTAGCAGCATGTCAGGTGAGGGACAACTCACTTGTGGATAGACCCACTTCCCCAGCTGAAGCATGGGGATCTTATCTTCTCATGATTCATCTTGTGAACTAGGACCCCATGGCATGGGCACACACACCCCCTCCCTTTTTACATACAGCACCCGGGAAGCTACCGTGGAGTCATGGTTCCTACCTTGATTACTAAGAGCACTCCTACATCAACATACTATACCTCCGTGAGATAGATTTATGAACCTTCTACGGTTCAGAATGACTCCCTAAAATATGTTTCAGAACTCCTATAATTAACCGAACCAATTACACCGATGAACAGTTAACATATTTTTGGGAGCCATTGGTTTAAGGAATATGTTTTATTTTCATTAATCATGTAAATAAACTCTACAAGAAAACCGAAGAAAGTAAAGACTGGATGATGGAGATTATTAAATTATGCGAACTCTGATTTGTTCAAGAGACAAATGCAGAATTTGTTCCTAAATTCTCAGCTACCGAAACTTTTTGATTGAACCAAACTTCCTCATTTCACATCTCACTACCGTACCCAAAATTAAGAAGAAAAACAAAAAAAGTTTTATTCAGGCGAAACTTGAAATCTTTATGTTGAGAAGGGGTCAAGAGTTAATTTTTACTTTTTAAAAAGAGATTAAATATAACATAAATAAAACTTTCGAAAAGTTGCAGAAATTTTTTGAGAGTTGGGCCATCTGTCCCTGGTTTAATGGTTTTACTCTCCTACACATATTATTTATTGTAAGAACATCCGTTCCTTTATTGTATAGTTGTATTAAAAACTCCCACCACCACAACAATCCCTGTTGAGATTAAAAGACAGATAAAAGTATTAAAAGATTGATTAAGAGAGATTATTACCATTACAAAAAGATGCTTGAACTATTTGTCCTTGAGCCATATAATTATAACATTTGCAGCTAATAGCATTCAGGATGACATCTGCAACACCGAGATACATATAGTAAAAAGACGCAATTAGAGTTTGAAAATTTGACCTTATAAGTACATACATTACATGAAATGAAAGGTAACTATACCGGGCGCAGATAACAGATACCAGCAGGTCAACAACAAATATTAACTATAAAGTAAGAGATAGCTTTGGGAGAATGCAGAGTGCTCAGTTCACTTGTTTGTTCTGCGACTCTCTATTTAATTCCTGCAAATATATACGCATATATCCTTCTTTCCTGGAAATTTCCCTTTGCTAAATTTATTTAATTTCTTTTTTTACTTTTTAATTTGTTGGTGTTAGAGAATCAAGTAAGGTATAGATTATTAATGTAGCAACTTCCGTAAGTACTACAGATGACAGGCATGAAGCATCCTTGGCCTGGAAAAAGAACAGTGCTCCTCTCATGTGGCAACTTCCAGCACTTCCTTTATATAGAATAATATTTGGGGTGACTATTGTGTTCAAATTGAACTGATTTAATTAAAATAAAAACAAATTAAAAACCGAATAAACTAACAAATTCAAAAAATCTCTTTCTTTTTTTTCTTAGGGAAAAATTAAAAAATTCAAAAACTGACCTAATACACCAAATCAAAATTATATATATATCAACACCAAAAAAAAATTATATATATATATATATGAGGCGAGGTATTCTTATACCGATGTAAAAATATAAAGTCTTACACCAATATTGATCATTGATTAGCTTGCATTTAATGACTCACATATATCATAAATTTAGATAAAAATTAAATCAATAGTGATTTAGAGTGTAACTTACATCAATGTAAAATGATCATGATCCATACATATATACATATATATATATATATATATGGGAAATGATCCGTTTACAAATTTTTTGCAAATTACACTATGTACTCTCGGAAGTACACTAGGTTACCTAGTATATTTTCGGGAGTACATACTGTAATTTGTAAGAGTTTGTAAATAAAAAGTTTGTAAATATAATCTTTCACTATATATATACATATATATATATATATACATGAAGAAAACATTTCTGCAGCCACTTTAGATAAGGTTGTCCACAACTACCCCTTTTTAACTAAGTACGACCGGTCGTACATTAAAAGCAATGTTATTAAAACCGTCCGGTCATCGACCCGATCGAGGTACTGGGTCACTGGTTCAATCGCATGGCTCGGTAATTATATGCAATTTTATAATTTATATTAAAAAATTATAAACATACTCAAATAACTAAAAAATGATAAAAATTTCAAATATTTTAATATAAAAAATAATAAATCACATATTATTATCGAATAAAATATCAAACAAAAATATAATAAACGTGATACGGGACTTTAGGTTCAGAAAGCGACATGACTAACTATAAATTAATTCAAAATTTTCTACATAGTACATAATTGAGATAATATTAGTGTTGTAGGTACATAACTTATGTAAGTCAAAACGCAAAAAAATATTCAAATATTTTCATTATGATTTTTTTTGAAAAAAAAAATTTGGAATTTTTTTTTTTTGGACTGGGCCGGGTCACCGGTTTTTTATGAAAACCGGCCAGGTCGGACTGCGTCGCACCGGTTCTAATGCATGTCAGTCTGTTACTTCAACCGGACCGGTTATATGACCGGTTTACCGGTTCCCGGGTCGATCCGGTTTTAATAACTATGATTAAAAGCAATGTTATTCAAACCGGCCCGGTCATTGACCCGGTCGAGGTACTGGGTCACTGGTTCAACCGCATGACCCGGTAATTATATGCAATTTTATAATTTATATTAAAAAATTATAAACATACTCAAATATCTAAAAAAAATGATAAGATTTTCAAATATTTTAATATAAAAAATAATAAATGACATATTATTATCCAATAAAAGATCTAACAAATATATAATGATCGTGATACGTGACTTTAGGTTAAGAAAACGACATCTCTAACTATAAATCAAATCGAAATTTTCTGCATAGTGCATAATTGAGATAATATTAGTATTGTAGTTACATAACTTATGTAAGTCAATAAGCAAAAAAATATTCAAATATGTCCTTTATGATTTTTTTTTGAAAAAAAAAATTCAATTTTTTTTTGGGACCGGGCCGGGTCACCGGTTTTCATGAAAACCGGCCGAGTCGCACCGGGTCGCACCGGTTCTGATGCATAACCGGTCTGTTGCTTCAAACGGACCGGTTTACCGATTCCCGGGTCGGTCCGGGTTTCATAACACTGATTAAAAGTGCATTTTCTCTCTCCTCCACGTCAGCCGACAGTGTCTTAGGAGAGAGAGAGAAAGAGCAGCTTTATTGTTATAACTAAGTACGACCGGTCGTATTTAGTTAAAAATGGCTAGCTGTAGATAACCTTATCTAAAGTAGCTGTAGGAATACTTTTCCATATATATATAGGGGCATGATATTCTTACACCGGTGTAAGAGTTAGAACTTAGAAGTCTTACACTCAATCTTGGCAGCATATCCTGGCTTGCTGTATGTGCAGCGGCTGCAGAAATGATCTTGCCATATATATATATCGTGCTAAGTTTATAAATATTGAAAATTGATTTAATATAAAATATATAATTTTTTTTTCTATAGATTGAAGTAAAGACAGAAAAAAAAAACATAAAAAAGACTAGACATGGAAGCTCCTAACGAGTCACTGCACATTTAGCAAAAATCACATCTCTATTGTCAGCCTATATATAGATTTATTTTTAAATTTTTAAAATACTTTAAGTTAATCTATTTATTTTAATATATTTTGCTTAAACTTATGAATTCAAAATGTTGTAATACTTTAAAATATGAATCTTTGTATAATAAGACAGAAAAAATTAATTTATAAATAATTTAGAAATATATGAGTTTTATTGATAAAAAATATTTTTATCTATTTATTAATCTGATCTCAAACACATAATAAGATAATAGTAATTTCAAACTATTTATCTAATGCGCACAAAATGGATTTAAATCCATTGCACAAGTTGGACCATATTGGATTCCACTCATTTTAACTTAAACCAAATCTAAATTACTTCGGGAATTTGGGTTGATTCAAACCGTTGAATTAATAAATACTCATTTTAAAACAATAAGAATTAATTTCACTCATAAAATGTTATTTTAAAACAAATAATTATTTATTTGAATATAATAATTGATTTAAAATCTTTTAGTGTAAATTAATCTAATTTTTAAAATACATATTTAATAAAATAATAATTAAAATTAATTTTTAAACTCTAATTATATAAAGAAAGAAAGAAAATACTAACCGCGGATTATTACAATTAGCCCATGACGTACACAGAAATGACACTCCCTAGTTACCACATTATAAAGTATAGACTATAGACTAGATCTATGATTTTATAAATTAAATAAGGGAAAAATAAATCTTATGTTGTAGGAGAATTCTAATCTCTTGTCATAGATACATCAAGTGCACGACCCACCTATTTAAAAAAAATAAAAAAATGAGTAGCATACCTTTTTATAGTGTGTGTAAGAAGAATTTGTTTTCTCATGCAACATGAGAAAAACAAATCCCATTAAATAAAAATAGCCCAATGCTTTTGGATGCTGAGATTTAAGGCGGAGGATACTTATTTCTAAGGGGGGAAATCACATGATAATTATAACAAAAAATACATTATATTTTTAAAGTGAAACACTATTTTAGTGAAATACTATTTTAAAATATAGAAAAATATTTCTACAGTTACTGTAGATAAGTTATCTGCACTTACTCCCAAAATGACGTCGTGTTGGGATAGAAATATTATAATTATAAAGACTATAATAACCCTGAAATAAATTAAAATTATAAAAATACTATAATTTTCGCCCAAAATGATGTCGTATTAGGCTTACTGCAGATAACTTATTTGCATTAACTGCAGAAAAAGTGAACCCTTTAAAATATATATAAATTTTCAGTTTGATTTGATTTAGATTGGTTTTAAATTTGGATAAAATGTTATCAAATCCAACTACTTTATTATTATTATTTTTCTTGAATTTTTCAGTTTTAATTATATTGATTTGATTTTACACGCAAAGAGTATATTTAAAGGGAAATACTACTCTCATTTTACATGAGGTAGTTATCTCATTTTCTCTCACTTCGAAAATCGTGCCCCTTCTTTATTCTTTTTCTTTTTTGCTTTTAAATAACGGGCCCTACTTGGATTCTCTCTGTAACATGAGAGAACTACTCTCATGTTACATGAGAGTAATATTACCCATATTTAAATGCAAATACATGTTACATATTTTGTATAATTAAACTAAGGGGGTGTATTGGATTAGAATTTTAAAAGACTTTTTTGAGATAAAAAATCTTAAAGATTTTAAAAGACTATTTAAAATTAGATGGACTTTAAAGACTTTTTTAACAATCAATATTTCATTAGATTGGATTTTAAAGGATTTTAATAGAATTTATAAGATTTGAAAGGATAATATGAATTTATAAGATTTTAAAAAACGATATGAATTTTTAATAAACATCCAAAATTACAAGAGATAATAAAAAATAACAAGAAATGCAATGAAATTAATAAAAAAAATAGAACTTAGTATAATTTTCTCAATCAGTAAAACATAATATAATTTGTAACAAACATCCAAAATTACTAAGCAACAGCTCTTCACATATCTAAAGTTATACTAGTCTTCCACGTATTAGTCTTTTCTCGTTCATGCTCTTGAGTTTGACCAATGGTTGAAAATTATTTTTTTCATTTGGTATCAAAGTTATGCATATATGATTATAAGACCCAATTTTTTTTTGATTATTAAAATAATTCTAAATTTGCATATAGAACCTAAAGTTCATGATAAAATTTCTTTTGAAATTTATTGCAATTGATCTTGAAAATCTTGGATAGTTTTTCCTACGTGATGAGAATTTTCTAACCATATATCATATGCATATTTTCATTCAATATTCTAAGAAAATTTTGAATCTGAATTTCTGAGTTTTATTGCATGAAAGTTTAGAAAATTTCTCAAATTTGTTTCAATCTGTACATTGAAACCTTAAATTGCTTTGCGGCTTTTGAAAACAAGTTTTTAGTTATCTATTGACACAATAATTATTTGAAATTGTTTCCTATAGTGAAGAAATTTCGTTCATGAACGTATTGTTACGAAATATAGGATTCATATTTGTAA